GGGGTTGCGTGGCAGGGAGGTGCAAGTGTGTGTGGTTACTCTCAGATGGCCGTGTCCCAGAATACGGTTTTCTGTGTAGGGTAAGGGGGAGGACGGATCTTTTTGGCCCCGCTGCTTTTCCCCCAGCCCGGGAGGACAGGTGCACTTTCTTGCTTGCACTGACTCCGCTCCTGGTGCCTCTCCTCGTTCCTGTCCGGAGGAGGAGGCCTCTCCAGAGATCTCTGCAGGTGTGGATGTTGCCTGGAGCGGATCTCCATGCAGAGGGTGCGCTTCCTTTCAATCTGGTCCAGCATGGTGGTGTCTCCGCAGATCCACGGCATCTGGGGCATCTGAGGGGCAGAGTCCATGCATTAAGTGAGCCAGTACAGCTTGACTTCAAAGTTAGTTGTGCACGTTAAAACCCCTAAAACATGTATTTCTCTATTACATGATATATTTATTCATGACAAAATAAGCAACAATCAAAGTAAAAAAAATTATAGATATTATTTATTGAGAGTTTAACACTTCAAAACTGCTTCATCGAGGCTCTGTGGGTGTAGTTTGATCAGATCTGATTGACAATAAACAAACAATCCATCACATGTCATCACATTCGGATTTAAAGTTAACTAAATCCTAATTGGTGCACACAAGGACATCACTTTTTCGTAAATGTACCCAGCCAGTGAGAACAGCAATTACAGAAATGTCTGGTGAAATTGAGAACTGTTTCTAGGACTCCATTATTACTCGGAGTACGGAACTGACTGAGGAAATATGTTTTCAGGGGCCGTAACGGGTTAAACATATAAGTGAAGAAAAACAAGCAAATCTGCATACCTGACTGTGATGCGTCTCTGCTGCTTTCCTTTGTGGAGTTCCCATTGGGGAGGGGTTAGCGGGCATAGAAGGTGAGCGGCCATACTTAGGTGCTACTTTCAGATCTGCAAAGGGAGGAGAAACCACACGTCTGACACACAATACTTTTTGCCCCACATATAAAGAACATATGATCAATTCTGGATTTTTCCTATGAATGTGATGCTTTAACCCTCACCATTTGCCGTTCCCGTGGTCAATGGCGGGCTACCTGATGATCTCCCGTGGTGAGTGGGCGTCGTGGTGGATGAATGCTGCCCTGACACTGTGCTGCCGTTCCTCTCTTGTGCTTTTGATTGGTCCGTGCTGTGATTGGCCCTGTTATCTCGTCTGGGCGTGCCATCTGATCTGTGTCCTCGTTCTTTACTGTCACACCTGTACTCCATCGCAGAGGGGCTCTTGGTGGTTTTGGCATCATAATGATGCTGCTCCGAGCCATTCGGACTTCGGTCTTTGCTGTCCCGTCTCACCTCGAGTCCAGTTCTCCTCAGATCTTTGCTGTCCTGTCTGGGCAGAGGAGGAGGAGGGAGTTCTCCACCGTTGTGGCAGCTCCGATCTCTCCCTTCATGCTTGGACTCAGAGCCGTAGCCAACCCTGTCCTTGCAGTTGTTGTTTCTGGATGTTTCTTGTCGGGGAATGATCTCTGGTGGCTGGTCTATTCTACCTTCGTGTCTATGCTCAGCGTCATTTCTTGCTCTCTCTTTGACATCCTGTTGGGGTAACAGATCAGGACGGTGGTCTTTGCTGTCGTGCCTAAATTCTGCTCCGGTTCTAGCTCTGTCTTTGCCCTCTGATCGGGGGAGAAGCTCAGGTGGCCTGTCTCTGCTTTCATGCTTTGAGTCCACGCCGTTCCTGGCTCTCTCTTTGCTATCCTGTCGTGGTAGGAGCTCAGGTGGCTGATCCAGCAGTCTCTCTCTGCTTTCGTGTCGACCGTCTACACCGTTTTTTGCCCTTTCCATGCTGTCTTGTCTTTGTAACAGCTCAGGTGGCTGATCTAGCAGCCTGTCTTTGCTGTCCAGCCTCACCAAAGGTTCCATTCCTTGTCCCCCGCCTCGATCTTTGCTATCTCTCCTTAGCATCAGATCACCATTGCTAAGCCCTCTGTCCTTGGAGTCTCTTCTTATCAATGGGATGGGCTCTACACTGCTGCAACCCTGGTCCCTGCTATCCCTGCAAACAGGTGGCGCATCTGCACCGCTATAAGTACGGTCTTTACTGTTGCGTCTGTTGGGAAGGGGCTCTACATTGCTGCTCCGTCTTTCTTTATCTTTGTCTCTGTCTTTGTCTCTGTCTTTTACTCTGTCTTTGTCTCTGTCTTTTACTCTGTCCTTTACTCTGTCTTTGTCTCTGTCCTTTACTCTGTCTTTGTCTTTGTCTTTGTCTTTGTCTTTGTCTCTGTCTTTGTCTTTGTCTTTGTCTCTCCGGTGAGAAGACTCTTTGCTGTGGCGCTCCTTGGAGTCTCGCTTGGACTCCTTGCTGTGACCGTGGCTGTGGCGCTCCTTGCCCTCACGCTTGGACTCGCTGTGAGACTTGCTTTTGGACTCGACTGTAAAAAAAACAAAAAAAAACCATGATATATATATACACATGATTGTACCATCCAAGCTTATTCTGCTGCAATTGATAACGCACTGGAAATAAATTGTTTAAATGCATGTGTCAATTACATATTTTGGGGGAAAATTATGTTTTTCTGTTTCAAGTTTCTGCACTACCATCATATATCCTCTAGGTGTCACTCACTCCTCACTGCACTGAGGCAGCTGCAGAAATTTTGGAGTTAGATGAGTCAATATGTGGGCTGACAGGCATTAGAGTTGCATTCGTCTTGGTATATTTTAATAAACACTATTATTATCTATTCTACATTTTTTTCAGTTCAATCGATTAAAATTACATTTTTTAATTTATTTTTTAATTTAATTTAATTTATTGTATTTTTTAATTGTATTTTTCTCTCACCCGCAAAATCTACAAAATAATAACAGTACCATAAAATAACAATGGTTACCAATATGAAACATATTTTAAAACATTAACATTGGATGTCTCTGTGTTTAACCTTTTTGCACAAACCAGATTGTGTGCGCTGACTCTTCTTTAGCATACACATAATATTTCAGTATGTGTGCATTAAAAATGCTAATATAGAGCTGCATGTGTGTCACCGATTCAAGCCTCAATAAAGACATTATAGATCATCACTGCACAAATAAAAATATATGTGCATGATTGATTTCCATGTGGGCTGTGCCTCTATATGGTTTCTATACGGGCTTTAACATGGGCTTTAACATACAGTACCATGTCAAATTCTCCCTTATCACGCCCATCCCTTGTCATGTTATGCGTGTCACATGGCTTTTTAGTGTGTGTATGAGAGGGAGTGTGGCGATTAACCAGTTGGTAAGTGGGTCAGACTAGCTGTTGCTGCGTCTTTTGCCTCCTCAGTAAGCAAGAGAAAAGAAAAATAAATCAGCCTCCATTCATTGTTCTAGGTTTGTATGCTCAGTACACCGTGTGTGCTCGCAGCCAGTCACAGAGCAACACAAACAACCTGTCAGTCCTGTAGCCCCGTGTGTTGGTTGAACACAGGTGTCGGGATTAAGAAATTCAAAATTTAAAAGATCTGCGAGCACAGCCCACCCTTGATGTATAGAAAGCATATGCAAACTGTTTACCAACCACATGGGGCTCGAGAACAAAATACTGTCAAAGTGCTCATTGGTTGGACATTACTGGGACTTGAATGCACCCATTTACAATCTAGCCATCACTTAATGTAAGCCAGTAATTCGACAATACAGTATAATCAAGACATTGCACAGAAAGCACAGGATTAAACAACAAATGCGCACTAATTGGCACATGCACACCAACTGGAAGAAGTCAAAATAGCAAGACATCATAAATTGCCTCAGCTTCCACAATCCCCATCTGCACAGCTGCCACAGCTCCCTGATTGGCTCAATCGTGACTAGAGTATGTGCTGATTGGACAGAAAAGAGAATCTGAAATCCTCTGATCAGGTGCAGATTTGAGTTCAGAGCCATAGCTATCCCATTGCTTATTGCTCGGTTGTAGACCGTCGTGGCCTGAGCTGTGATTGGCTGCATTACTCATGAGGAGGGAATCTGCAAATAAGAAACGGGGATTTCTCCTCCTTCCACTGTTGCTATGTTGTAGTTGCTAAGAGCGTTGAGTGAAGATGGATGTGTGGACTCTTTGTAGTTGTTTTATGATTTATGTTCAAAATGCGCTTTAATACATACACAATACAGCATTTGATTTTTTAAATTCTTTCACATTGTATAGCTCAGCTCTGAAGAGTTATATGTCGACTAAAGGGTTAAATTTCATGTTAAACCTCACTCTAAAGCGTTACATGCTCTATATAAATGTATTTGTCATCAAATATACTATATATGAACTGCACTATACTTCACTATACTTCATGCATTTTGGAAACACCCTCTTTTCAAAATATTTAACATGGTTATTTTAACAAAAGAAAATAACAGTTGCATTATGAATGAGAACATTAATTTACGACTGACCATATGATAAAGTTAGCTTTTCTTCATCTTTTTGTGAACTTTTAGCAACTTGTGCACTTATGTCATAACAAGCAAATAATGTTTGCCTCGCATTCATTTTGGCGTAGTTTTGAGTGTGGCATGGCTATCTGTATTTAAACATGTTGTTTACATATTTAAAAGTAATGCTGCCTGATGGCCTAATGCCATGAGTAGGTTTGAGGGACCTGCTGTCCGCTTTAGTCTCTAATCCCCTTAGATTAAATCATACGATCTGTATCAGACTTGGCTAGCTGGGCCTAGATTAATGGAGGGCTGCACAGAGTGGCATGGACATCATGCGCGGTACTGTATAAGTGGTGCATTCTCTGCACAGCCTCCTAATTTGGCAGGGTTAAACATGTGAACGCAAAACAGGGATGAATTACACCGATTAGGGAACTGAAGACTACTTATTTTTGTTCGCTCCAGAGTTTACTGCAGCCAAAGCATTTAGACACTGACACCTTCCATGTCGTCCATAAACACTCTGGGATGTTACTCCTGCTCTCCCGATTGTTATTCGGAGAGTTTGCAGCTCCTCTCTAATGTTGCTGGGGTTGTTTTCACATCAACTCTCTTAACTAGGCCCTCTTATGAAACATACAGGCCAGGGTAAGATTCATAAAAAGGAGATGCAGTTATAAGCTGTCAACACACTTCCAGGATCAAAGAGACACAAATAAACACGGGCACATGTTTTCGTGCCCTTTGTTTGAGCTACGTTCCAAAATGAGGAGACAAATGTGTGAAATGACTCACTCTCTCCAGGCTCTTTAGACTTCCTGCCACTGGCATTTTTCTTCAGCATGTTCCTGCCTGTCGTGAACAGGTTGGTGAGTTCGTCCAGTGGACTGGTGGGTGTCCGTGAACGCCCTGTCGACACATTCTGCATGGAGCCATGGAGTCGGCCCCCACCATCTTGAGGTGGCGAGCCTTTGCCGTGAGGGGTGGCGGAGGCACTCCGTGGCAGACCACCGGGGAATGGCATGGGAGCATCGAAGGGAGGCGTACGCATGAGGCTGAGAGGGGTGAGACAGCGGCCCATGCTGACTGGCGACGGGCAAGCGGAATGGCTGCGCTGATAGGAGGATGAGGAGGAGGATTTGTAGAGGGTAGAGGGCAGAGGTGGCGCAGAGGAGCGGCCGGAGACGGTGAGGGTCGGGGTGGCAGTGAGCTCCCTACGGATGTGTGCAGAGGAAGGTGGCTCGCTGGAGGATGTTGGAGATTTGCTGTAGGACTGGTTCTCCATCATGGGCAGTTTGGTTACGTCGAGAGGGGTAAGGGGAGACTCGTCTGAGTTTGGCGAGCACTGGGCTGGCGACGGTGGGAACACCAGCAGCGGAGGCCGATGGGTGAGTAAATTGGGGAAGGGTGCAGGAATGTCACAGAGCGGAATGTTTCGTGGGGTGGAGCAGCGGCTGAGAGGTTCAGGTTCATAGGGTGCCGGGGTGGGGCACGCGGAGCGACACCCCACAGGGTCGGTGCGGTACTCCATATCGTCCAGAGCTGGGTACTTCATCTCCTCGTACACGGACTCTCCCGGCTCCTCGTCCTCACTCTTCAAGGGTTCCCGTGGGCCGATATCGATCCCGCCCATCTCGATGTAGACAGGTTCGTCTTCACAGTCGTCAGTCGGGCTCTCATCACTCTGCGGAGGCGAGGCGTTTCGCTCGCAGGGGGAGGTGACATGGTGGAGGGGTCTGGAGGGGCAAACCCCGTTGCCCGCGTGGCTCTTGATGTAGGACTCATCGAAGGAGACGCTCAGCTGTGTGTTGGGGTTCCTCTTAGGTTTGGGTGGCGGCACCCTCCTGCAGTCCTCACTGCATCCTTGAGCTGCTGAAGGACAGAGAGAGAAGGTCAAAACACAAATCCATTGGAAAGACTCACATTCACACGCACTACTTGACAACAGAAAGTACACTGTGCAAAAGAAAAGTACAGTGCATTTACTGTATATTCATGGTTTGCTGGTTTATTAATTACAATTTTTAAAGATAATTTTTGGGGCTTTCTTTTGCGTTTAGTATAGAACAGCCGATGGTAGGCGGGAGAGAGCTGGAGTAAGGCTTTAGTACATGGGGAGCCCGGTCCACCAGGTGAGCTACCGTGGCACCTTATCATCATTCTGACTAACATTTTGTTGAGGAATGAGACATGACAACATAATGTTGCCACATTACTCTTCCGTTGCTAACTTTCTGCACAGCTATCGTACACGAGTGAATCCCTATCATTAACATGAAGCCTGCTGCAGATTTGTGGGTCGGATGTGGGTCAACGTGTATAGCTGAGAGCAATATCTTGAGTCAGATATGTGGGAATAGTTGAGGCATATGCACGTTTCTAGGTCACATATATGGCAGTGGAGCAGTATGCGAGCATAGTATTTGGGTCACACACACTGTGGAACTTCTCTCTGATAGTGGTGACGTAGCATTGCGGAGTGAATCTCTTTAGATGTGGTGCAGTGAGGCCGATGGTACAGTGTTCACGTCGACTTGATAGTACAGTGCGGTCCTAATGCTAGTTTACTCACAGCAGGCAGCGCGCTTTACAACTGAGTTGCTAACAGTGTATTTCTAGGTCAGATGCCGCGATGTTTGGATAGGAGCGTCCCTTTCTCTGATAGGCAGGGAGAGATAAGTGTGGTTAACAGCCGGACCATGTCGGAAATCTTAAAACTGCAGATTTTACACCTTCAATAATTCAGATGCCAGATGGCCCAGGCACACGCATACTTCCTGTAAGTGTATGACTCACCACCATCCCTACATAAACATGCCTACACATTCAGAGCGGGAAACTAAGACAGGCACGTCCACATTTGAACACACAAACTAAAGTCAATCCTTCCAGAAAACGGAAGTCATGTAGGTGTCTGTTTTCTGTTGCATGTGAATGTATAGCTTTGCAGGACATGCTGCAGGGAATTAGATGGAGAGAAATATATATGTAGATTAGAGTCTGTTATTTAAATTGAGAATATAACTAAAGAGAAAACAATGGAAGATGTCAAGAAAATCCAGAAGGGGAAACAAAACTTTGTAACGTATCCAAGTTGATGTTGATGATGCTAAATTGAACTGAGGATGACAAATAGGCCCTCTGGTTCCATTGCGCCCTCATTACTATTAATACGGTGTTAATAGAACATTTTGGTTTGGTTAAATTTGACTGACATCCTCACATTCTTGTGTACTCTCTCCCTTTCTCTCTGTATGCATGTGCATCAATCGGTGTGCACACAGCAATGTTCACACAGCAGTGAAGCATTGCCACTTTTGATTCACCAAATGCATTATTACACTAACAGGTTTACACGGTGGATCTCGAGATCTGTTTCAGCACTGACGATGAATCCGTGGCTCCAAACATCTCCTACTCCCTGTCCCTTCTCCTCTCCATCTCTCTATTGCTCCCTCTGCTCTTCTCCCCCCCCCCCCCCCCCGCAGCGGATGTGTTTACCCGCAAACCCCCTCCCCCTCCCTCTCCTCCTGGGGAAAAAACGAATCTAGGTCAATCGCTCCTCCTGAATGAATTCTACTCTGACAAGCTCCTCCCCTTCCCGCTACAGCGCCAGCTACCGAGCACGCAACCCTCCCCTTGGCCAGGGACACCCCCACACTCTCACTCTGATTGGCTCCGCAGCCTCACACTTCAGCATCTCTGGAGCCCCATTGGCTCGGGCCGCTCAGCGATTGTGTGATTGGCTGGGCTGCAGGGGGTCTTGTTTCTGTGGGATGGTTGCCGTGGTGCCCAGGAAGATCTGTGTGCACATAGAGAGATCCCCACCAATCTGAGCCAGGCTGGGCGGACTCCCTAAGCATCACATTGGCAACGAAGCATCCAAAATGAAATGGAGTCAAAGGTTCCTGCAAACTCTAAATCAGAGTCACCTGCCTCCAAGACTGTTATATTCTAAATGTCAGTTTGATTTTGCATCTTGTGAGTTTTTCTCAGTGCTCAGCACATGTCTTGTCTTCAATAAAACTGTTGAGCTGTGTGCGTTTGCTACAGCAGCGATTGTATCTGTGGCTCGTTGAGGGAAACATTACTTTTGCTCAATTAATTCCGGTCCTATTCATTAAAGCTTTTACACTGAGCTGATGTACTATGATTATGCCCTCTGTTTCATCCATGGCCAAACGGGCATATTGTGTTTTGTTTATTTTGCTTCAGAAAACTGACTTCAGAAATGGCTGCAGGCTGATTCTTCTGGATTTTGATCAGGGCATCTCTAAATGTTGGCCTCGGCAGTTTTAACTGGAGGGAAAATAGTTTGGCCTTTATTGGTAATAATTTGCCTTGAAGATATACATAAGTAAGTAAGTCCGTTTTAAATGAGGTCAAACAACTGTCAAGACACTTCTGCCTTCTTTAGGTGCAATGAGAACAGCTTGGACAACTGACCGTGTGACCAGCTCTTGAATGAAGTTACTAGAGCTTTGACTTAATACGCAGAACGTGTTACTACATTAATGATAATCAGGACATTCCTCTCAGAGAAGAGAAACTGACAGTATTAAAAAAGCCTGGATATAAAAAAGCAGATATATAACACCTGATGATTACATACTGTCTGATTTATCTGACAGTAACAGTAAGTAAAAGAGCACTATGAAAAGTCCAATAAAGTTACAAATTATCCATGATCTTCCAACATTTGTTTATGGCATCCACAATTGCTCTAGCTTGTGTATTTAAATGTTCTGGAATATGTGTAGATTGGCCCACTGTCATTCAAATACACTAAGGAAGGATTTGTCCTTGCACAATATGCAAACCGTGTCCAGACAAGTCAGAGTGGTGCAGCACAAATCTTGTCAGACTCTTTTAATATAGCTCATTGAACTGCAGGTTATTGCATTTTTTTTATTGTTCTGTAGTGCACCACAAATGTGTTGACATTGGTTTAACTCCATTGTACTCAAGAGCTCCTTTTTAACATCAATTTGCCACAGTGGTACTCAGAGTGAAGTATGCAGTGAATAGCTAGATGTCGCGTCACTGTAGGAGGAGCAGTGTTGAGGAGGGCACTGCAGAGAGCAGCTATATATAGCGCAGCAGTTTGGTGTAAAGTGCCACCACCGCTCACCGTCACATCTCTCCCCGCGGCAGGTGGACGTGGGACTGTAGTCCACCGCCTCAGACGACATGCTCAGCTTGGTGGCCGGGTCCCTCCTGGGCTTGGGTGGGGGCTGCTTCCTAGAGGTCGGGCTTCCTACCTCCTCCTCTCCTCCGCCCCCACTGCTCCCACCGCCGACAGAGTGGAGGGACTGGGAGCGCACGGAGAAGCCTTGCCCACAGGCGAGGGCATGCGGGTGGGGCATGCATTCCTGGGGGTCCGGCATTGTAATGGAGCCCATGCGTAAGTGCTTGCCTTCGGTCGCAATGTCCTCACCTGTCCTAAAAACATGAAGCAAGGAAGTGACCGAGAGAGAGAGAGAGAGAGAGAGAGAGAGAGAGAGAGAGAGAGAGAGAGAGAGAGAGAGGGTAGACAGGACAGGGACAGGGTCAAATATGAATAATAAACACATAAAAGTTGCAAACAATGAAACAATCTAAATTTGACTAAATATGAAGTTTTTGAGGCTAAAATATAAGAGACAACAATCTTGAAACATCATCCCCTGGAAGCTGTTCTTGTCAGAAGACAGCAAAAACAACACATGCCATACCCTGAAACACAGACTCATCATGGCAAGTCTCCATTTGTGTGTGTATTTGCATTTCATTCCGTACTCGTGGCTCAAACGATGTGAGCGCTAACTTAACAACATCCGGCACGTCAGTGCCACTGAAATCAGGGTCTCTTTCAGGGCAAAGCATTGATTTGAGTTTAACTCTGGATGTGACCGACGCTGCTGACACAACAATACACATCATGACACCATGGAAGACCCCCCCCCCCCCGGCGAGGACACGATCAATCCCTATAAATGGATGATTGGCCCAAATGGAGCGTTAATGATGTCTGAGTGTTGTGTAATGGGGGAAAGGAGGGCTGTGTGTGTATGAGTGTATGAGTGTGTTTGTGTGTCACAGAGTAAATGAGCTCAAGATCTGACTTTGTTTGTGTACAAAAGACGTGACAAGTATGCTATCTATACCCACTTGATATCTGCAGTTGATGTGTTTAATTGTTGTAATATCAGAGCCCCAACTGAGCTCAATGTCAATGAGATTTAAATGTTTAAACAAATGGCATGAATTTGCATGTGTGGCTTCACAAATCCCTGTCCTGTGTGAGTGTGTGCACGCACGTGGGAGTGTATATGCATGCGTGTCTTTGTGACCCCCTCAGTGTGTGACTTTGCTGACTCTGACTCCCTCCCGGCCAGCTGCTGAACAGAAGGTGCTTGGTGGGGTGGGTTCATTGGTCAGGGGCTTAACTTTGCCTAGCAACAGGGTACCCATAGAAACCAGACACAAAACCAACTACTGGCGCACATGAATAATGATAAAGCAAACCTGCGCATCATGTGCACATCTTCCCACACCACAATTTGTTTAAATGCACAAGAGAAAGGTGGCTGCTGCAACACGTAGAGCCCCGTTTGCCAGTGTTATTGGGAAGAAAGCAGGTGGCGGAAAATTCAAGATAAAATCCCATGTTTAGTGGTTATTCATTGATATCATGTATAAAACTATTAGTTTAGAGGTGGTATGAGTACCTGTACTAACTACTGCATAGCTGAGACCTGTTTATTGATGGTGCAAGCCACAATTTGGAGCAAAGTTGAAAGACGTAGAAAAGAAAGTAAACCAATATCCAATTCAATGATCTCCAATATGATTGGAGATAAAAGAGTATACAAGCAACTAAAAAGGAATATGAATTCAATGACAGCACACACGTTAGGTTTGTGGTTAAAATGTTATGACAGCTACACAATATCAAAATGACTTACAATAGTATATCAAACCAGATCAATATGACCGTGATATGATTTAAGCAATGGGCAGCAAAAGAAATAGCAGTTTGGTATGTTTTGGAAAGAGAAGGAGAACTGGAGTTTCAAATCTGAGAGAAAAATCTGATCTAAACCTAAAATGAAAAATAAGCAGTTTAGACATTCCCAATGTTTTGGTAAATTGTATGAAAAGTGCTTCAACAAAGACATTTTTCCCACATTACATTTGTGGGAAAATGGACAATATACAAGACACAAAGTTTGTCATGTTTTAATGTTATTGATGTCATTTTTTTATGTAGCAAACATTTTTTTTCCAATTAAGATCTAAGTAAAAAAAAGAAGTAGAAAATCTTCCAGGGCATTCAGCCACAGGTGTCAACAGTCGCTTCCTCTCATGCGTTTTTTTGGTGTGTGCATCTGCTGTGACAGCGTGCATGTACATCCCCAATCCATGGATTGTGTGTGTTGGCGGGCGGGTGTGATTGGATTATTTATAGGATATTTGCCCAGTGATTGGCTACAGACCACAGGTGCACTTGGACCAGTTGGAGTTGAGTTGTCGTCGGGCAGCTCTTTCTCTCTCTCTCTCACTGTGACACCATGCGACAGGACGACCAACGTCACAGAAACAAACAAACACTAAAGGAGATCTTGAGGGTGGAGAACAAAAGATTTTGATCTGTGAATACGCCCATGTGTGCACAAAGAGAAAGCAGTTGTTTAGAATTTGCATGCATATGTAAATATAAGTAAATTTAAGGTGTGTGGTTCGTGTCTGTGTGTGTGTGTTCAGGAATACGCTTGCACGTTTAAGCAAATTTGTGGACGTCTGTCTGTCTGTGTGTGTGTGTGTGTGTGTGTGTGTGCATGACTGTGTGAGTAACTTCTGCTGATGAAATACAATAACAGAAAACCCAGAGTGAGAAAGCAGCAGGCAGGAAGACCCGCCTCACTCAAACCTAACGTGCAGATCTGATTGGCCTATGGCTGTTCCAGCTGTCACTAGGCAGAACACATCTCCTGTAACTGAGCTCACATTTAATCTCTCTCTAACAGGTTTTTTTTTCTAAACCCTCCCACCCCCCCCCCTCACAATGTTGACACATTTGCTCTAACAAGCTCTTTCACCCTCACACAATCACAGAGGCCATTTGTTCTACCCCTCTCACAAACTAATACATGATATTTTCCCGTGTCCATGCACGCACATGCACACATGAATCCTCGCACACACTCTCACTCCCAGTCAGTTACTGTAAAAATGGGTCGTCTCATTGACCTACTTATAGGCCTCATGAAAAATCCAGTTATTTTTTTTGACTTTTTCCTCCAGTGACTGTGTATTAATATTTTAGCTTTTGGCAACAGCTGAGAGACAGTGGAAGCAGGACAGTAGATGCCACTTTCCTCAGGCGTCTCCATGTCCAGTTTACCAATTGCAGGCCTGCATTAGACTGCTAATGACAACGGAAGCGGGGACACTTTGCTGGCAAGTGATAAAAGAAAGTCCAGGATAGATTTTGGAGTGGTTTTCACTCTAACTTAGCTGTCTATCTCATTCCTAAGGGATACAGTTGAGTTCTAACTCAGCATTGAGTGATTTACAGTACGTATACTCCACAATGCACTGTCTACGGAACACTTACAGTGGTAGCAGAGAAACCGCTCTTTTTTGAATCACGGAACCCATTGACAGAAATGTGACAGGGTTCAAAGTGTTCCTGAATAAACCAGTGAAGAAGAACCACAATGCACAGCCCTCAACACCACATCAATGTAATCAGCTGCTAAAACACTTTGTACCGTGTCTGACAGAACGGAGATGATGTTTTAGATTCCATGACAACACTGGACAGCATTTCCCATAAGCCTTTCCACTGCACGCTGATCATCATTAGATTCATTATTTGTTCACAAAGCGGTGAACAACTACTTTATGATTGTTCGCTCACAGATAAAATATGCATCCACTGGATTAATATCTTCTGTAAATTCCTGAAAATTCTACCTGTTCAGATGTCATCAGTCCTAAAATGTAATTAAAAGGGCTATTATTCCATGTCAGAGCACCGAACCAACCAGCAGATTGAGAACTCACGTTCATTGCTCTGGAAGCAAAGCTCAAATCACTGTTAACTACTGAACATTTTTAAAACAAAACAATGTTTAAAAATAATTAGTCAACAGAGTGATTTGTGATGTGATCTCACACTGCTCACAAGTTTTTGGAGAGGAGGAACAAAGCAACACGGATGTCCACGTCCTTCCCACAAACACAATTCAAGCCCCTTCTGTGATGTCCCGCTATCCTCCCAATGACTCTGTGACTCAGTGCTCCTTACTCTACCCCACAACACAAGCACACCGAGTCCACATGCTAGTCACGTTGCGAGTGTGTGCCATTTATTTGCACAAGTTTCGGCATGCCACACCCACACACACACACACACACACACACACACACACACAGCGGTGTTGCTGCGCACAGCTGTAACTGCTTGCTCATCACAACATGTGAAACAGGGTGCATCGGCACAATGCTAATAATAATTTCCTCAAACTATATGGGGTGTTACAGCAACTTCTTGTCGATGATAGAACTTACCACACGGTCGGGAAAATGTTCTTCCTAAAACAGGATAGTTAGGTTTACTTAAATCGCAGCAGCACAACCAGAAGTAACGTCACATGTCGTGTTCCCATCCTAACACACTTATATATCCCAGCCCATCCCAGCCCTTTCCTAATTCTAAACGCTCTTCGTCTCAAAAATGGAGCAGCGACAACCTCCATCCAAGGACAAGTCTAAAAGTGAAAAATTAATTATCCTCTAAAGATCATGGGGCGCGCCGTTCCACACTGGCAACCCCCAAAATATAGCAACCTGCCATTGCCACAGGGACCCTCTGTCCACTTGTCCCAATTCCTTACAACCTCTTCCTGAAGTGAACCCAGTGATGTTCCTGCGTTCACAGCGTAATGCCACTGGTGAGCTGCAGCTATGAAATTTAGGATATCTCCTAAATATCTAACAGATATCTGACACAACCTTTGTCAAGGAGCTCTTTATCAGTTTGATTTCTTCCTACCTCCGTATGGCTTCCTCCTGTTTTCTCTTCTTGTCGTTTTTCTCCTGCAGGAATGTCCTATTTCTCTCATTCCTGGCGTGGTCCAAGTTCTGAGCTACCAGGCCGTTGTAGGCTCTCAGCCCATTCTCCTCAACATACTGGAAAAAACGGAGAGTTTCCTCCTCTTTGGAGCTCATCATTCTTCAAGTGTTTCCACAGCATTCTAATAAAGACATTCATTGAAAATGTTAGCGATAGTTATTTGCCTTAAGTAGATATACACACAAAATACTACTAGTATTATGGACTACTAGGGCATCATACATGAGTATGGTCTGAATGTAAAAACAGGCATGCTGTTATGTCAGCAATCACTCTCTTAACCTTCCTTTCTCAAAGTCAGCCTTAGTGAGATGAAAACCGACAGAGCAGGATTGCATCAGCACTATACTAACGTCACACATTTGAGTTTGTGTGATGTTGCCGTTGTTTTTAATGCCCCCTGACTGTTGCCGTGGAGTTCATCGCCTATGAAAGATTCATAATTCATAGACTTGCATCATGTGTCCGCAGAGTAAAAATGATTTTCCCGGGATGGTTTGCAACAGCTTTCTCGATTGTTTATTGTGCACATATACATACACATACTTTCACACACAAAAGCTCACATGCACATGTAAATATGCAAGCAGTCAGAGGACTCACTATCTGGCTACAGCTACTCATAACCTTCAGATCCAGTCTTCTTGTTGGCCGTGGATCGGTAGCGGCTGTTCATTTTCTCAGTTGTGTTTGCACGTTTTTCTGGCTCAAATCACTGGCTTCAACCAAGTGAGCATCTGAATGAAACTGAAAAAGGGGCTTTCATCCTCTGCTGTTGCAGTTGTGTGCTGGGCTCAGATGTGAAAATCTAGCACTCCTGGGACCAACCGCACAGATTAAACAAACCACTCTCACTAGACTGTGATGAATATGCGGACATCATCGTCAGTCCTATGTTTTAAGATCTAAAATTAGTCCCTGCTGCCTTTTGATTCCGTAAAAAGACTATTACTGATGGCATCATTGTCATAAGGGAGGGTGTGGATGTTTCTGTGAGGAAAAAGCCTCTTCAATGAAACATCCACATTGGCGCAATCATGATCCACTCTTTCGTAAATGTGAATAATGTGTCTGCAGCCAGTTAAGATCCGAACAGAATGTGGAGCAGCCAAACATGCATGTACATTACGCATTTGCCGGAAAACCTGTGCAACCGCTTGCAACGCAACATGTGCAGTGTTTGTCGAATGTGAATTTGGAGAGGCCAGTGGTGCAAGGGAAGAAGACACTGCATGCTTTTATGTAGGTCGATGTTTTTCAGATCAGCCTAAGACTCATGCTTGTTTACGTGTGAGAGAAGCACTGAGTGTGCATGGGGAGGGGGAGGGGGCTTGCGATAACTGGATGTATGTTTGCTTGTAGGGAAGCAAGGGCAATGGAGGGGGGGGGGGGGGGGGCTTGCCAGATGGAGATTGCAGGGCCAACAGAGTGACTGGCCATTGTCTGGCCGTCCTCAGTTGTCCCTCTAACTTGTGTCTGTCTGTCAATGAGTCCAGCATGGCGCCTAGGTCACCAGGTTTATCCTCCGCTCCCTACAGCGCATTCTCGACCCTCCTTAGCATAGGTTTGTACAGGCACGAGTAGAACAGATGGAATCACCATCTTGGAGCAGAGTTCAAACTAGGGCACAGTTTCCTGGTGTCGAGATTTTTTTTTAAAAAATTTTTTCTTATCTCCGATGCACAGGCCAAGCCGGAGATCTGAAGCTGCCGAAAGGAAATAAATCTTTGGTTTCCGAAGAGAAACGAGGTGCAACCAGTTAGATGTGTTAAGGGTGCAGCAATAGGAAAGCACAGTTCAAACAGTGTTTGAGCTGAATTAAGCCTGCCAGCCTAATCCCTGTAAGCCTGCAGCAGCACTCTGCACTAGAATCAGCTTGTTTATCACACTGTTTTTACCAACCAAGCCTTTCACATTGGATTGTCCTCCAATAACTCATCGATGTAAAATGCCATTCATTCGCTAATCGCTCTGAAGCCTGTCAACTGAGCAACCCATTTTTCTCAACAAAGCTTTTATGTTTTTTCCCTCTCCATTCTCACTTTCCCCTTCACTTTATGCACTTTTAGGCATCTCACCTCTTC